ACCGTGGCCGGGCCCCTGTGGTGGTGCTGGGGGGGAGAGGGGGGGTCTCCCACGGGCTGGGGTGGGCCCAGGTGTGCTGGGGTCTGCAGGTGGCCTTTCCCTGTCCCAGCACTGCCTGCACAGAGCCTCTCCCAGGGCCCAGTGGCTCCCGCGGGGTCCGTGTCCTGCTCCCTCCTCTCACTCCCTGGGCTTGGGCATGGGGTGTCGGGGGCAGGCACACAAGGAAAGATGGTTTGCACCCCGTTTTCTGCGGTGGGAAGAGAGCAGCGCTGGGACGTGTCTCCTCTGGGAAGGCGTCTTGATGGGACGATGACACGGAGGGGACAGTGCTGGGAGCCAGGTGTGGGGCTCTGTGCCCAGCTGGGGAGCGTGGGGTCCCGGTTTCCCTGGGCAGCAGTGAGTTGGCAGCGTGGGCCTGCCCTCGCCCCGGTTCCCAGCAGGGCTGACTGCACCCTGCAGCGTTCCTGTGACTCCCACAGTCGCCGCTGTGTCAGGGCTGAGGCCGGGGTGCCGGGCTGTGGGAGAGTGGTGCTGCAGGGGACGGTCCCGTCGCGCTGCCCCAAGGGAGGGCGGGTGTGAGCCCCGGGGTGCTGCTCGCTGAGGTGCTGCCCCTGCAGTTCTGGCTCGCCCTGGTGCAACCGTCACCGGCGGGGCTGGACGAGCTTTTCAGGAGAAGGAAATTGCACGGGGGTTGTGCAACCCCACATGCTGGGGATGCCCTGGGCAGCGGCGCTGACCTTGAGCTGCCCCATGACTCACGAACGCCTTGGGGGGGACACTGCCTCCCGCAGCAGATGCATATGGACCTTCCTATGGGCCTGGTGGGGGTAAATGGGTGCCTGGGGGGCTCCTGCTGCCCCAGCCGCCCCTGGGGCAGGAGGCCAGCTTGGGGCTGCCCTGGCAGGGCCCTTCCTGCCCCCCAGGGTCCTGCAGCCAGGGGTCGCTGGGGCTGGAAGGGGTTGGCCAGCCCTGGCTGCAGGTGTGCGCATGTGTGCGCCTCTGCATGAGCGTTCCTGTGTGTTTGCACGGCCACAGCTCCACGTGCCCGTGTGTGTCTGTGGGGCCACAGCCACAGTTCCCCAGCCCGGCAGATCACCCGGCAGGGGGGCGAGCAGGGGCAGGTGACTTGGGGAACCAGGACACTGCCTGGCCCGGCCAACCTTGGCCTGGCTGTGACACAGCAGCAGGGGACACACTGGGGGGGGGGTGCGGGCTCCAGGTCCCTGTGGATGAATCCGTCCATCAACCCTGATGTCCCCTCTGTCATCGGATGGGTCCCCTCCATCACTTCCCCGGGTTCCCTGTATCACCCCTCCAGTGTCCCCTCCATCATCCCCACCGGTGTCCCCCCCATCACTCCCTGGGACCCCTCCATCGCCGCGGCAGCCCCTGGCCCGGCCGGCTGCTGCTGGGTCCCGCAGTGTGGCGCTGGGTCCCTCTCCCGGTGCCCGCTCGCACTGCACGGCCCGGCCAGTCCCGCAAGTGTTGCGCGGGTCCCTCTCCCGGTGCCCGCTCGCACTGCACGGCCCGGCCCGGGCTGCCCAGAAGCCCGGAGGGTCCCGGGGCTGGGAGAGCCGGGGCCTGGGCCTCATGCCACGGCACAGCGGCTGCACCCCTGCCGTGCTCCCCGCTGCTGTCCTTGCCCGTTCGCTGTAGGCAGACATGGAAGCTCCAGCTGGAGCCGTGGGGAGAGGGGCTCCGTGCGTGCCGATGTGTGTCCCCACGTCTCTGCCCCGACCCCCTGCCCAAGCCCTGTGTGCCCCACGGCCGAGCCCTCGCGATGCAGCCCCGGCCATCATCCTCCTCTCAGGGAACGGGGATGCGGCATGGCACTGCCACAGGGCTGCCACGACCGGGGCCTGGCACCACCGGGACAGCCAGAGAGCAGGGGAAGGGGCTGCACAGAGCCGGCCCAGGCTTGGAGCGGGTCTGGCAGGGCTGAGCAGCCTGCCATGTGCCGGGGTGCCGGATGCAGCCACAACAGGATGTGCTGGAGAGCCCCAGGGAGGGCCCAGCCCTGCGGGCACCTGCGCCCCAACCAGTCCCTCACTGTTTTCACGGGACCTGATTCATCCCGGAAGGGATTAGGGACCAGGGAACCGGGTGACGTTCTGGTCCGACCAGCCCGGCTGCCCCGGGATGGACATCGGCGTCAGAGCCGGTCCCTGCTGCTTGCTGCCACATAGGGCCCCGGGGACATGGCACAGCTGGGACCCACGACAGGACCCGCAGCCCCCATGGCGTGGGGCACCGTGACCGCCTGCCCGACAGGCCCCACCCCCCATGGCGTGGGGCCCCGTGCCCGCCTGCCACGGTGAGGTTTGGTGCAGGGCGGGGCACCTAGGGATAGAGGGGCTGTGGTGGGTGCGGGGTGGGGACCAGGGGCAGGAGGCCCCCGCCTGCCACGGTGAGGTTTGGTGCAGGGCGGGGCCACCTAGGGATAGAGGGGCTGTGGTGGGTGCGGGGTGGGGACCAGGGGCAGCACTGGCCTTTGGGATGCTGCCGGGGGCCGTGGCCGGTGCCGCTCCCCCGGCTGGCGGGGAGGCACTGGAGGTCCTGGGCAAGCGGGCAGCTGCTCTCGAGGAGTCCATAAGGTGCATTACACAGGGCTGTGGTCCCTCCGGTGAGGTTGGCCGTGGGCCCTACATCCCCCCCCATAGTGCTGGGATGGGGCCCTGGCCCCCCCGGAGGGATCCCTGGGTCCCCAGGCTGGATCCAGGCAGGCAGCTGGACCCCTGGCAGCCATAGCCCATGGCACTGTCCAGCCGGAGGGGCTCACCCCGGCTGGGGGATGGTCCTGCGGTGGCAGCTTTGGGAGCGTGGACGGCTCCTCCTCTGCAGCCGGGGCTTTTTGAAGGGGATTGCACAGTTCTGCTCTCACTCTGACTGTCCCGACCTTCCCGTCACACTGCGGCCCTGGGAGCTGCTGTCGCGCCCTGGCCACCCTGACCCCCACTGAGGTTCAGGTGCCCCCACACAAGGTCCCCAGAGCCCTTCCCAAAGCGGGAAGAGCCGCTGCTCCCTGGTGCAAGTGGGCTGAGCCCCATCCCCCCTGGTGTAGCCTGGGGACCAACTCGCCACGTCCCCCCACTCCACCGTTGCCCTGGACTGGGCATAGCCGAAGCTCCTTGGGACCCTGGCCCAGCCGGGTCCCTGCATGTCCCCACATGCCGGCCACGTGCCCCGCCATGGGGAGCCCTGGCCAGTGCCCCCGGCTCCTGCGCACCCCCAGGGTAGGGGGCTGGCAGCAGCGCGGTGTGGGATCCTACTTTCCTCCACTCCCACGATGGGCACGAGTGGGGAACAATGGGGGAACTGGCTTCCCTGCTGAGTCACGCGTTGGGCAAGGCCGGGCTTTTGGCGGCCAGAGCGCTGCGGTGGCCCCTGCATGTGCGCAGGAGGCTGATGTCACCTCGGGCTCTCTGTTCCCGATATAAGTCCTGGCCGGGCTGGTGCGCAGGGATGGGGTCTCTGCAGCGGCCAGGCATCCCACAGCCATGTCCTCTGCTCCAGCCTCCAGGTCCCGGCACCATCCCCAAGGCACACCAGGGCCGGCGTGGCTCTGTCTCTTGCTCCTGCTGACTGCCCGCGTGCCCGCGGCCGGCACCAACCCCGGCATCAAGGCCCGGCTGACCCGGAAGGCATTGGAATTCGGTGAGTCTTGCGCCCCTGATCACCCGTGGGGGAACTGGGCAGGGGGTGGAGGGGAACCATGCCCAGACTGCCTGGGATGGGGGATGGAGGGGTGTCCTGGACCCGGCTGCTCGCCCCACCAGCACCCCAGCCCCTTCCCTGGCACCCTCCCCCAAATCTGTGCTCTGCCCCAGGCCGGCAGTTTGGGCTGGAGCTGCTCCAGTCGCTGCTGCAGAAGGAACACGAGCTAAACCTGACGGGCTCCTACTACAGCCCGCTCCTGGGGACATTCACCTACGCTGTGCCCCGGTAAGAGCCGCCCACAGGGTCCCCGTCCCTGTCCCCATTCCCATCCCGGCCGTGCCCCAGGCGCAGCTGCGAGCCCAGGCTGCCCGTGTCGTGCAGGATCCACATCCACGAGCTGCAGATAAACGACTCTGCCGTGGACTTCGCCGAGGACGTGGGGGTGAGGCTGACAGTGCAGCGCGCCCGCATCTGGCTCAGCGCCGAGTGGGGAGCCCAGCTGGGCGCCATGTGAGTCCTCACCCACACAGGGCACAGGGATGGGGACCCGGGCAGCTCAGGGTGGCTCGGGGCCACTGCCGTCCCCATGCTCACCTGCTCTGTCCCCAGCCAGGACAAGGGCTCCATCGAGCTCCGCATGCGTGACCTGGCCGTGGCAGCGGTGCTGGGGGTGAGCGTGGATGGCACTGGCCGCCCCATGGTGTGGAGCGCTGGCTGCGACGCCCGTGGCACTGACCTGCACATGGAGTTTCACCATGGACACAGGTGACGCCGGGACCCCCGTTCCCCTCCTGTCCCCGGCACATGGGGACTCCCCAGTGCCCCCAGCCTGGGTGTTGAGCTGGGGGAGGCTGGGGCACCCCGGGGTGATCTGAGGACCCTGCTCTGCCCCGCAGCTGGCTCTACAACCTGCTGGCACCGCTGCTCCAGAGACCTCTGCGGCAGGAGCTGAACAAGCAGGTGGGTGCTCGGCCCCCGTGCTGTGGGGAGCTGGTGTCCCTGTCCCCCCAAGTGAGCAGCTTGGGGATCCCTGCTGACACCCTGCTCTGCTTCCAGCTCTGCCTTGAGCTCCGCAGGGGCATCCACAGGCTGGAGGCTGCCCTGAAGCACATGAAAGGTGGGTGAGGGGACCCTGGGGACCGGGGCTGGGGCAAGAGGGGACCGGGCAGGGTGGCCTAGGTGACGCTGTGTGTGGGGCTGGTGCCCGGTGGGGTCTGCGGGACTGGGGGCTGCAGGAAGGGGCAGGTGGTTCGGCTCCCCGCAACCGGCCCCGTGTCCCTGCAGTGTCCACCCAGCTGGACCCCTTCGCTGCCATCGACCACTCCCTGCTGGGGCGGCCGGCCATCATGGCAGAGCACGGGGACGTCGCCCTCAAGGTAACATCATCCGGGGTGTCCCTGGGCTGGGTCTGGGAACGTGGCATGGGGGGAGCTGGGCTGAGCCTTGCGCCTGTCCGTCTGTCTGTCTGCACAGGGGGAGTTCTTCAGGGTGGGCAAGTGTCAGCAGAGACCCTCCTCGGCGCTGCCCGTGGCGCTGCCCGTGGAGTTGCCTGCAGCTCTGCCCACTGCACTGCCCGCAGCGCACGAGCCCATGCTGCTGCTGGCCATCACAGAGTTCGTTGCCAACTCGGCCGCCTTCGCATACTTCACAGCCGGGGCCCTGCACAGGAACATCTCCAGCAACATGGTAGGGACGGCTCCGGCCGTGGCTGCAGGGCAGGGCTGCCCCCCCGGGGTCCTGCCGGGGCGTCCCCGTGCCCGCCCGTGCCTTGTGGCACCAGCGTCCCGACCCCTCTGCTGCCTTCCAGCTCCCGCGGCGGTTCCCGCTCCAGCTGAGGACCAAGAGCATGGGGGTCTTCTCCCCGCAGGTGGGCGCAGGGCAGGGAGTGGTCCCCAGCACTGGGCAGGGTGGGGTGGGACAGGGGGAGAATGGGACACAGGTGGGATAGAACATGGGATGGGACAGGATGCAGGTGGAACGGGACACGGGATGGGATGCAGGAGGGATAGGATGCAGGTGGGATGGGACACAGGTAGGATGGGATGCAGGAGGGACAAGACATGAAATGGGATGCAGGAGGGGTGGGACACAGGAGGGATGGGACAGGGGATGGGATGCAGGCGGGTTGGGACACTGGATGGCATGCAGGCAGGATGGGGCACAGGAGGGATGGGGCGCAGGGGAGATGGGACGCGGGATGGGATGCAGGCGGGATGGGATGCAGGCAGGATGGGCAGGATGGGATGCAGGATGGGACGCAGTCGGGAGGGGACACAGGCAGGACAGGATGTGCACGGGTGGACCATGGGCAGGACAGGACGCATTCACCACCCGAGCCCCGGGCAGGGCGGTGATGGGGCACACGGGCCCCGGGCAGTGGTGGGGGCCGGCTGGGAGCCTGGGCTGGTGCCAGCGGTGCCAGTGTAGCTCCGTGCCAGCCCAGCCCTCGTCCCCCCCAGCTGCAGGAGCGCTACCCAGACCAGCCCATGGAGCTGCACCTCTCGGCCCGCCGGCAGCCCCTGCTCTCCTGCCACCCCGACGCCCTGCACGGGGCCCTCTTCAGCTCCGCCGAGGCCTTCGTGGTGCTGCCCAATGCCACCCGCGTCCCCGCTTTTCTGCTGAACATCGTGAGTGGCTGGTGCTGCCATGGCAGAGGGTCCGCTGCCTGCACTTCAGGCTGGGGCCATGTTGGGCGATGCTGGGGTGATGTTGGGTGATGCTGGGCCATGCTGGGCGATGCAGGGTTGCGGGCACTGCCCTGGTCTTTCTGACATCTCTTCTTTCTGCAGGACGCCAACGTGACGGGGAAGCCGACCATCACCGGCAACAGGCTCGGGGGCACCGTGAGCCTGAGAGGGTGAGTCCCCAGCCCTGTGCTGGGTCCGGCCTTCCCATGGATGTCCCCAGGGAGCTCCCCCCCCCATTCTCCACCTCTGGCCTTTTGCCTCCCTGGTTCCCATATTGCTTGCTCAGACTCCATCCTGCCCCCAGCTCTTGGCCATGACTGCTGCCCTGGCACTCGTACCCCGGCTAGGTCCTCAGCTGGACCTGCTCTGCCAGGCTCCCAGCCCTGCCGTGGGGCTCAGCCCGTCCCTGCCCCAGGAGGGGACGGTTCCCGTCCCTGTGCCTGGCTCTCACCCTGCTCTCACCCTCCAGGCTCAGCGTGGCGCAGGTGACGTCGCATGTGGGCCCAGTGGAGGTGAGACGGGGCAGCCAAGGGGAGCCTCGGGCTCTGCACCAGCCTGGGAGCAGGGTCTGG